TCAAATGTAAAAAAAAAAAGATTTAAAAACGTTTTTGATTTATAGCAATTTTAAATGTTAAGTTAAACTTTTAACACCTTGTATATCATTTAATAAGCAGTTTAAAATAACCTTTTATGGAACTAAAATGAACGATTTTGCAGAAATTTGCTTCTAAACAAGGCTGCATGTGCTTAGAATAATTTGTAACTCAATATTTCTAAATCTAGTAGACATGTGTCAAATTTGTAATAGTTTGTAAATGTTTTGTTCTAAATTGTAATCTAGTAGGAATGTGTCAAATTGTCAATAGTTTGTATATTTGACAAGATCTTTGTACATCAAATGTAAAAAAAAAAACAAGACTTAAAATCGTTTTTGATTTATAGCAATTTTAAATGTTAAGTTAAACTTTTAACACCCTGTATATCATTTAATAAGCAGTTTAAAATAACCTTTTATGGAACTAAAATGAACGATTTTGCAGAAATTTGCTTCTAAACAAGGTTGCATGTGCTTAGAATAATTTGTAACTCAATATTTTTAAATCTAGTAGGCATGTGTCAAATTAATAGTTTGTAAATGTTTTGTTCTAAATTGTAATCTAGTAGGAATGTGTCAAATTGTCAATAGTTTGTAAAAAAAAAAAAAAGATTTAAAATCGTTTTTGATTTACCTATAGCAATTTTAAATGTTAAGTTAAACTTTTAACACCCTGTATATCATTTAATAAGCAGTTTAAAATAACCTTTTATGGAACTAAAAAGAACAATGTTGCATAAATGTCTTCTATACAAGGCTGCATGTACTTAGAATAATTTGTAACTCAACTTTAAAGTTAAACTTTTAACACCCTGTATATCATTTACTAAGTAAATAAATTTTTATGGAGCTAAAATGAAGAATGTTGCCAGTGTTTTCCATGAAGTTTTACCTACCCCAACATGTAAACCTTCTAAACTTCATAGGTAATAATTTTACAGGAGAAACAAAGTTTCATTTAGATATTAGAAAAAAAAAATATATTAGATCATTAGGTCTTTATTTAAAGGAAGCTTTTTAATAAAAACAACGATCTAATTCAACTTTTCTTCTTCTAATACCTAAATGAAACGTTTTTTGCTTCTCCTGTAAAATTATTACCTATGGAGTTAGAAGATTAACATGTTAAGGTACTGATAAAGTACACAAATACCTACAAATCTCAAATTAAACTAGTTTCGGCCATCTTTAGGCCTACAATACAAAATAAAGGCTTCATAGGATTCAATAACACGTTTAACAAATTATTTCATTCAAAAATTAAGAACAAACTGTAACTTTCACGAAAGCAAAAATATTTTAAAGATTTTCTAATGTAAAATTGTATTTATATGCATGTCACTGAAAATACTTTGTGATATTATGTGTCTTGACAATACTGAGAGCTTTAAATTTATGAAATAAATCAGAAATCACCCCCAATTAAAAACAAAAAGCAGCAAAATTTAGATTTAATACAATAGGAAACGTTTTTTTTTAATATTTTTCAAAATATTTACTTTTTGAAGATTTACAAAAAGTTAAAAGTTTCTCCACCCTAAGTTTAGTGATTATTAATATTTCCTGTAAATTTCACCCAAAATCAGACTAAAAATAAAGACTCAGAATGAATAATAAATTTTCAAGATGCTTGGTGTGGCTCTTAATATAAATCAATAAAATATATCAATTAAAATTATATAGGTCAACATTTGATAAGTCTGAAACCTCAAGACCTTCAATTTAAATTAGG